AAGTGTGGATACTCCACTCTCGTTTCCATTTTGAAGAAAATGTAACGTTGTGTGAAAATTTAACGTAATGAATGTTGTGGGGTTTTTAATAAGTCTGAAGTTGATTATGATTTATTTTGTTTCATTATCTATATGAAGGACGTTCCTTTTCAAGTGACCCATTTTCATCATTATTAGGAATAATTAGTGACTTTATTTATATGATTTGTAAATATGTATGGATTTGTATGTGTGCACGGGTGCATACATGACCGCGTATGTTGCCAAAATTTTGGTCAACGAGTTCTCTTATTAGTGAAGTTGAGTGGAATCAAGTTTTTGTCTTATGGAACTTCTAGAACACTACAAGAATGAGTGTTGAACACTCATTTGAGTTCTAGACGTCAGACGGAAAACAGACATCTGAATTAACGAAATTGTCTCTAAATCCACTGAATGTTTGAAAATTACTGATACGATTTGTATTTGAAAATGTTCGAATCATTTTCTCTGTCTAAAAAATTCCAAACATTCATTTCCAGACATTTTTATCATCTGAAATTCGATCATTTAGAAGTAATTCAAACATCTACTCGTCGGACATCTCATGAAGTGTTATCGCACAAAAATTTTAGACACTTCATGTTTCTTACAAGTTGACTTGCTCCCGTCCTTTTTTCTCCCTTACATATTCGATTTATCTCAAAATCTTTTCAAAATCGAACCTCCCTCAGGAGAGGTTCTTTCATCTCTCCAATCCTCCCCCCCCCCACTTTTAGTTGCTTTTTAGTGACTAAAAAATTTCCGCAGAATGCACACCAAAGTGTTTAAAATATGGCTACCAAAATGTCTAAAATTCAAAGATTATTTTTTATGCAGCGTTGGGCTAACGCAAATGATCGTCTCCCGAACCTAATCAATTACGAACATGTTAAAAAATATTGGTGATAACTATGTGTGTGTGTGTGTGTGTGTGTGTGTGTGTGTGTGTACGTGTATTCATTTTTTCAAATGCCCGGTAAGCTACTTCTATATATACTCTTTATCACATTTCCATGTATCTTTCAATATTGAAAATAGGAAATTTCATAGAAAAATCTATGGAAAATGTCAGTTTCATTTTAATCTATCCATAGAAATTCATAAAAATTAATAAAACCGGAATGAGATATATTTTTCATCATATTATGAATAAAAAATGAGTGGAACCTTTTTTCCACCCATTGTGATGAAAAAAATTCTCCGATACTCACGAGAGAAGAATGTTTTTTTTTCTCACGAGTATTAGATAAAAACTACGAGCCCTATGAGCCTAAAATATCTTATCGTAACGAAATATACTATTTCAAGACAATTGAATCGGCTTCAAGTCCATAAATTTTTCTATTTCTTTTTTTTTAATCAAAGAAACAAGAAATGTTTGAATACCCATGATTTCGAAAGGGGTATACCACGATTAACATCCACGACAAATTTTAATACCCAAATTGACATAATATTCGTGAGCAAGATAATGAAATATCGGTCTGGAGTCTACGAGACTTATTTTTCTGATCATAAACCGATTTTTATTGGACTCTATGATATAAATGATGCATTAAATGTGATTAACCAACATGTTAATCCAACAAATCCATCGAATATTAAAAAGAGTAATTATATATCCCCGACCGCAAAATTGAACGAGAAAACGAAAACTCAACCTCAAATTGTTTCAGAAGTAATACTTCCACAAAAAAAATTCAAGATCGTGTGTGACGCAAGCAACGAAAATAACCAACGAAGGATGACTAATACGAAAATATTGAAAAACGGTAACATGACGGTGTTACGTCAAGAATGGGTTACTTGACACAACTTTATTAAATTAAAATTCAATATATTGAACCAAAGAAACAAGATTAAATTCAAAGATCGTCTCGAATTTAAGGAATAGAATTCAAACACAAAACCCATTTACAAAGGTTGGAAAGGTTCACTTGGAGTAAAATGAAAAGAATTTTGAATAACTTTAAAGTGACTCAATAGAGTCTATATTTTAACAAAACAAGTAGAAAAGTATAACTACAACATTCGACTTACATTCACTGCTCTGCTTTCAGTCGTAAAGTATTTTGTATGTGGTTAAAAGTAATGCCGCACTGAATTTAAGACGTTGGATTAAATTCTTTATTTAAATGAATAAAATAATTAAAAATGTCACAAGACTTGGGATTTCAGAAAATAATTTAGTCACGAAAGACTAAAATGGAAATTAAATAGTCATCCAAGACTATATGAAAATTAAAGGTCGCGAAAAACCCGAAATATCGCCTTAATAGGTCGATAATAAAATTGGAACTGTGTCCAAAAGAAACTGGAGTATACTAACTCTCAGATATGAGCTACTACTACTACTGTAGCGATGACTACAAAATGCAATCGGAACTGTAACTGTCGTGCTGCTATCGCGCACAAGTCTTTATAGTTTATCTAGGAGGGTGTGTCCTCAGAATGCATAGGGAAATTTCGGGGACCAATTACAAATGACTCTAGCCGAAATTTCCCACTCCAGTGGTTTGAAATCTCCTTGTTTCGAGATCAACTCCATCTCTCTACATGAAGATGTTTTTGGGGTGTAGGCGGTCTTTTCTATTCCCCAACAACCAATGAAAATTGTTTTAGGAATGCCCATATATTCCCTCCACAATTCTCTTTTATCTCTTATTTTCAACTTAGCGTTAACATCTTTTGTTGTTTAATTTTTTAGAAACAAATTTCATGAAATGTTATGATAATCTATAATTCATTAGAGAAAAATAGTAATCTAATAGTAATTCAATAATAATTCAATGACATAAAAATATT